ATACCTGTCATACCTTTGTCATTATACACATTTATGTCCTCACTTGTCACAAAAATGCGCACATACACACTCACACACTCTCACACACACACACACACACACACTCACACACACACACTCTCTCTCTCTCTCTCTCTAATGTGTGAGTTCCTTCTGGTGTTGATGTTGGACAGCTGTGCTGTTATGATGAGGTCCAGTGAGCTCCTGACTGTCCACTTATTCTATCTTAGATCATCTGAGACAGTGTTTGTAAAGATAATGCCCTGTCTGTGCTATGCCATTCTTCCATTTCTTTATTTACCTTCTTTATTTGTATAGTTTTTTTGCTTACAGTTGCTTACAATTCTTGAAACTGAAATTCTACTTTTCAGTAGAGGGGGGGGGGGGGGGTTCTTCCTCAAAACATTGAGTTTGGATTTCTAAGTGAACAAATAATGTCTCAGTGTTTTCACTCATGATCACTGGCTGTAAGTAATCAGTAAATAAGTGTAGCACTGCTCCCCAAATTAAACACAAGAGCTGATCGTTCTGAGTGGCGTGTCTAATGCAGAGAACTGTTGTTGCAAAAAGCTTGTTTTTCAATTGCAAACTGAGTAAAGCAGATCATGTGCTTGCAGTTTTGCAGACTTGGTGTGAGGATTCGGTACATGAGAGAATGGTTTCACCGAGTGAGCCTCAAGTGCAACTTTTAGTGTGTAAGCAATTTTAAAACACTAATGGAAAATGGCTTCATGTGCACTAACAGCCAGACGACGCATCTCATGCACGTATTCAGAGTCGCTCTGACAATGCAGCAGACAGCAGAGGAGCGTTTCTTTAACGTATATATACATGTTAATTTGAAATGACAGAAGTCTAGCAGTCGTAACGGTGAGCAAAGCATTCTGGGAAGGGTCGTGGCAGCTCTGTCTGCTCAAACTCTTTTGTAGGTGGTTGGACGGAGCTGCATAAATCACGCAGATTCAAAACACAGAATGAGGGGGACATTCATTTGATCTCCAGCGAAAAGGCTGGATCTAAATACAGCTGCTGTGTGTCTCAATAAAACACGCTGCTCTTCCAGCAGAGGTAATATAAACCATCGCCCCCAGCCTCACGCCGCTTATGCAACACATCCAGCCGCCTCAGGAGAGCACGGACATGTTTACTGTCTATGATCTGAGCGCACAGCATACTGCGGTCGGACCACATAGTAAACACAGCGCGAGCCCACGGCCTCCTAAATCAAGCTGTGTTTGTTGAGCCAAAGGCTGGGAGGAATCTCGCTCAACATCGCTAGAGAGGAATTCACTCGTGCAAAGAAGAAGATGCAAAACGATGCAACAGAAAGTCATGATATGAACTCAGGAGTTAGTGAAGCAACTACACTGCACAAAATAACAATACAAACAAATACCTAAACATTCTTACATCAAAATACATTTAATGTCTTAAGATATTAGTGACCCTGGAGCACAAAACCAGTCATAAGGGTCAATTTTTCGAAATTGAGATTTATACATCTAAAAGCTGAATAAATAATCTTTCCATTGATGTATGGTTTGTTAGGATCGGACAATATTTGAATGAGATACAACTATTTGAAAATCTGGAATCTGAGGGTGCAAAAAAATCTAAGTATTGAGAAAATCATCTTTAAAGTTGAACAAATGAAGTTCTTAGCAATGCATATTACTAATCAAACATTAAGTTTTGATATATTTACGGTAGGACATTTACAAAATATCTTCATGGAACATGATCTTTACTTAATATCCTAATGATTTTTGGCATAAAAGAGAAATGTATAATTGTGACCCATACAATGTATTGTTGGCTATTGCTACAAATATCCTCCAGCGACTCAACACTGCTTCTGTGCTGCAGGGACACATTAGGTCTTGTTTTATGAAAAATTTATCAAAATGAAGTGAGTTATAATCTTGTTTTTTCTTTGAATTAAGTTTATTTGTTCAACCCCACTGGCAGATTTTTATTTTTATTTTTTAGGCAAAAACCCAATTAATTTTGACTTAATTAAGACTTGATATTTTGTTTATTAATTAAAGCTCTTACCTTGTAGAATACGCATGTTGACAAGCTCAGATTTCTCTGGTCGACTTCTGATTTTGTGCTTTAAATAATCTCCCGTCTGCAACATCAAATATTATAAAACACTAAATAAAATGAGTTGATTTTTACACACTTTCACAGTACTTCTGTAGAGCTGCTTTTATAGCTGAACTGAAGTTCAAAATGGTCAACTAACCTTAAAAACAAATAAATAATCAAAATGAATAATTTAATAACAATCTTCAGCAGTTTTTCTAACTATGCATTATTATGTTGCCTTTAAAATTAGTTTAGGTTTTTTATTTAATTTAATGAATTTAAACCGCAAAAGAAATACTTTGCAACACTGACACTTATTGAACTGAATAGCGTCAACACTGAATCATGACTCTGTAGAGTTGCTTTACAGATGAAACTGAACTGGTCTCATGTTTGATGCACTTTGCATCAGTGATTCTGGTATTGTGCTGTTTATCGCTGTGAAGCAGCTTTCAAACAATCTGTGTTTTATAAAGTGCTGTAGAAATAAAGGTGACTTGATTTGAGCAAGATCTTCTTTGTGATGTGGTTGTTTGTTCTTTCTTCTAACCTTGGATCGCTCGAGACTTTTCCTCTGTTCGTGGAACGCAGCCGGACTCTTCAAGGCTGGAAACACAAATGAGAAATGGAGTAAATGTGATCGTTTATCTGTCAACGAATCTTACATAAATCATCTCTGCCAGCGTCTGATCCGGCCTGTGTTTCTCTGCTGAAGCTGGATTATAGTCCTGAATCAGACATGTGCAAAACCACCACGAACACTGAAATATCACCTCACTGAAGAATGCAACCAATCGCATAATTCCAGCCTTTGCAATGTAAGGTGCATTATGATTGATGAGAGATATCGTGTGCTAGAGCTGGAGGGGCTCGTCACGAGATAACGCCATACATTCATAAAACACACACTAGAACGCGTTTTCTAGACACTTATCCTGCTGTAGCACAGCTATGCTTTCCCACATGTAGTTACACCAGTATCTATTTAAATGCTTTAAAAAACCTGTTTATCTGAGCTTGCCGACCTGTTGTCTGCCATAGAAAGATAAAGAGCCATTGAAAGTCTTTTTTAGGAGCTCAGACACAGATCTGTGTGGTTTATCTCCGGCTGAAACCCACGGACTCCAGCGGCTGATTCTTCTCTCAGCAACATCTAATCACAGTCCTGACTCAATCTGATCAGACATATTGTATATTTATGAAACCTAAAACAAAGTCTCAGATACACTGTTGTGTGTCTTAGCAGCTGTTTTCTTTAACATCTCCGTGTGTTTAGCTGAATTATCTTACTCTGCTTTGACTATACGACTCAGTGGTCCTTTATCAAAAATACATCAAAAATGCAATTTATACATGCAATGTCTTGAAAGCCGCTTTTCCGTTATTAAATTAAACTAGTTCCTATATTTTGAGTGTGTGTGTGTGTGTGTGTGTGTGTGTGAGCGGTTTTGTGACAAATGAGGACATAAATGTGTATAATGACAAAGGTATGACATAGATATTAAAAGGAGAAGGAGACTTTTCAGGGCATTACCCCATGTCCCCACTTTTCAAAATGCTTATAAATCACACAGAATGGAGTGTATTGAAAATCTGAAATAGCAGAAAGTCTCCTGTGAGGGGTAGGTTTAGGGGTAGGGTTGGTGTAGGGCAATAGAATATACGGTCTGTACAGTATAAAAACCATTACGCCTATGGAGAGTCCCCACTTTTCACAAAAGCAAACCTGTGTGTGTGCGTGTGTGTGCGCGTGTGTGTGTCAGATGCAGCTTTGTGAACCGGGCTCTTCTATGTACATGTTAACAGGTGTTGCATGTGTGACTAGTGCTGATCTTCAGCTCACGTGAGGCTCGCGCTGTCAAAGCGGTTCAGCCATGTGTCAGATACCCATAATGCAGTGTGATGTAGTCAGAGGAGGGGAGGTGCTACTCACGAGGCATGATGCCCTGCTCAGCGAGCTGCTCTCGTGTCCTCCTCTGCTGGAGTCTCAGCTGTAGGACTGAGGAGCAAACAGATAGTGACCCGTCATGAGTGAAGCTGCACAAATCAGACAGAAATCTGCATCCGGAGAAGGAACACATCATCCTGTATGAACGGGCAGATGCTGCACACACACACACACACACACACACACGCACACACGAATTAACGGGCCACCTCTTACGTTTATGAGCGCCTCCCTCCTCTCAGACTTCAGGAGGACCACACACTGAAGGAAGATTTGTTTAAAGCCAGGAGCTGTGTTTATCATAGACATACATCCTGTTTTAAGAAATATGTGTGGGTCTGTTGCTTCATTTTGTCTTTGTTTTGGGTGGTGTGTCTCTCATCCCGGCAATCTACGCCGTCACTGCACAAGCGTCCGTGTATGAACGTCTGTGCATAATCTACTGTAAGTAAAGCTGAGGAGAATAAATGAAAAAATATTTTGCTTCTTTAAAAACAACCATTTAAATGCGTCATATGATGCAATTTCATGTTTTCCTTTGTCTTTGAGTGTTAAAAGCTGTTTGTGCAAACAGAAGATCCGTAAAGTCGCAAAGATGAAAGTCTCAAACCCAAAGAGATATTCTTTATAAAAGTGAACGCTCAGCCACGCCTTCCTAAAATGCCTCGTTCAAACACGCCCCACATTTCTACATCACGATGTGGGAAGATTTGCATAACACCGCCCAAATGTTCACGCAAAGAAAGAAGGCGTAACTTTTATTCTCGCTGTAGTATTGTTGCCGCCGTGCTGTGTGTTTAAGTTTTATTCACAACACTGTTCCAGAACAGTACAACCCAAATATTCAAGTGTGTGCAGCACATTTTACAGAGGAGAGTTTTCTGAACCTGGTGAGGGGCGTAACATTTCCGTCACACGCTTGAGGTATTCGGCCAATCACAACGCACTGGATAGCTGACCAATCACAGCACACCTCGCTTTTCAGATCGATGAGCTTTGTAAAAATCGACGCGTTTCAGAAAGGCGGGGCATAGAGGAGAAACAATAATGTACAGTATGTGGAAAATAATGTTTTTTTTTTTTACCTTTAACCACATAAACACATTGCATTACACCAAATACACCAAATAATGTTCTTTTTTGCAATGTCATATGACCCCTTTAATTCAGTTAGTTCTGATCCAGACATTTAGTTTGCCTGTTCCAAACAGACGTTGTTAGAAGTGTTAGTGTCGAGGATGTTTCAGTCACTCTTTCTGTTCAAAACATTGATTCATTTCACGCAAAGAAAGAAGGCGTAACTTTTATTCTCGCTGTAGTATTGTTGCCGCCGTGCTGTGTGTTTAAGTTTTATTCACAACACTGTTCCAGAACAGTACAACCCAAATATTCAAGTGTGTGCAGCACATTTTACAGAGGAGAGTTTTCTGAACCTGGTGAGGGGCGTAACATTTCCGTCACACGCTTGAGGTATTCGGCCAATCACAACGCACTGGATAGCTGACCAATCACAGCACACCTCGCTTTTCAGATCGATGAGCTTTGTAAAAATCGACGCGTTTCAGAAAGGCGGGGCATAGAGGAGAAACAATAATGTACAGTATGTGGAAAATAATGTTTTTTTTTTTTACCTTTAACCACATAAACACATTGCATTACACCAAATACACCAAATAATGTTCTTTTTTGCAATGTCATATGACCCCTTTAATTCAGTTAGTTCTGATCCAGACATTTAGTTTGCCTGTTCCAAACAGACGTTGTTAGAAGTGTTAGTGTCGAGGATGTTTCAGTCACTCTTTCTGTTCAAAACATTGATTCATTCAGGAGCGAAACCAGTAGTTGGTGAGTCACTGAATCATTCCCTCAAGCCATTTGTTCAACACATCAATTATCGATAAATCAAGAATGAAACAAGAAATTGTCTTTATAAAAGAGTCTTTTGAATGATTCACTATTCACTCAAGAAATTTGTTCAAAACACTGATTCTTTCAGGAACAAAACATGTAACTCTCTTTATGAGTGAGTCATTGAATCAGTCACTCTAGTGATTCGTCTAAAGCACTGATTAACTCAGAAACAATTAATCATCTTTATGAGTAAGTCATTGAATCATTCATTCAAGTGATTTGAACAAAACACTGATTCATTCAGAAACAAGTAACCGTCTTTATGAGTGAGTCATTGAATCATTCACTCTAGTGATTCGTCCAAAGCACTGATTAACTCAGAAACAACTAATCATCTTTATGGGTAAGTCATTGAATCATTCTAAGTGATGTTTATTGAACTGTATAACAGCAATATCACACACTCACAGTCACAGAAAAATAGCATCCATGCTCGTGAGCTATTGTTGAAATACACTCCCGAAACGTGTGGACATGCAACAGTTCTTGTACTTGTCAGTGTTCATCTGATCGTCCATTCGTCCTTCCATTTATCATCGCAATCAATCAACCAGCTGCAT